GATCTAGTAGCAGTAGCAGTAGCAGTAGCAGTAGCAGTAGCAGTAGCAGTAGCAGTAGCAGTAGCAGTAGCAGTTGCAGTAGTAGTAGCAGTAGTAGTAGTAGTAGTAGCAGCAGCAGCAGCAGCAGCGGCGGCGGCAGTAGCAAACGAGTTGCCCCCGGCCAGGAATGCATCGCCGGGATCCACGGCTTCGTTGGGTCCCATCTGTCAAGATCTGGTTTCCGGGTCGTCGAGTTCTTTTTCTCATCGGCCAACACGATCAGCAACACGATGAGATGCCCCAAGGACGGGTACAGCCTCGTGAAGATCTCCATGTGGCGCCAGCAGAGCTGGAGCGTCGCCGGGGCGGGGATGATGATGACGTTGATGCGGATGAGGATGGGGATGACCACGACGCGACGACGACGACGACGACGACTACGACGACGACCCGATGACGATGACGATGATGATGGTGGTGGTGGTGGTGGTGGTGATTTTGAACATCAGCTCGTAGTCCGAGCTAGCAGAAACTCTATCCGAGCTAGCAACTCTATCGTCCCGAAACCCGAACCCGAAGCCCTGCCCCATGCGCCCATGTCCCCAAACCTCCAACAATAATGGAATAGTCGCTGGCAGGCAAAACAAAGGTAGTAGGAGGGAGAAGTCGATCTCTGAGGTCAAGGCTGTATCCTCGTGGCACGTCACACTGTCCCTCTCGCGTTCTGCCCCAGCAAAGAGTCTCGCCTAGCTTCTCAGAGCAGAATCTGCTCAAGTGCTTTCGAGTCTTGGGCTTCATTGGGGCTTTACGGGTCTGGCATTTGGGGCCCGCTGCCGAGGCACCAGTGTTGATGATCCCACATGAATGGGACGTGCCCGCAAAAAGCTCTTGCCAGAGAAAACCTTGTGGAACGTAGACCTGCACGGCGAAAGTCGAACATGCAGGACATCAGGCCGCAGTGACACACTTGCTGCCACGCCCGAAGGTATCTGCACAGGCCACGCACCAAAGACTCACAACACAGCAGTTTTCTGCTGTCGCTGCGCTGTGAACCTGCCTCATTCACAGAAAGCCGAAAGGATTCTGTCAGGCAGGACCCAATAGATCTACCAAGTGAAAAGCACTGAGAAGTTCCTCCGCAGCAACCAAGTCATCTTTGAACTTGACTGCTTTCACTATTTGCTCGATGTTGGCCTCATGTGTCACAACTGCGTGTTGAGGACTCGCCAAGGCAATTCCTAGAGAACTGCTTGCGTTCCAAAAGTGTGCAATGACTTGAAGAACTGCACCATCACCGTGACAATCACCGCGAGGACGAAACAAAAAAGCAGGGAGGAGAAGATGTCGTCGCTGTCATCACCACTAAAAACTTGCAGGCACATCCCATTCCGGCCTGCAAGAGCTCCCCGTGGATTGAAGAGTTCAGCGCCTCCAGGCTCCATTTCACCTGATCCCTCGAAATGAGGCCATTGCGGCCTATGTACCGAAAGAGCCCCGACAAGGCGCTGCGATGAGCCCACACCTGGGCTAAGCGATTCTGCTCGGATTGTGCGCAGGGTAGCAGAAGCACGGCCTGAAAACACAGAAGATCGAGAAGGGCTTGGTGTGTAAGAGAGCGTGGCGACTGCCGATCAAAGAGGAGCAAGAACTCCAAGTAGTTCAGCTTGCCTGGCATGGCCAACCAACAACAGGCAGAAATTGAGCGCACTTGCGCATCATGGATGCATCAGGATCCATCCCACCCGATCGACCTAGCGCCTGTGCGCACGCCCCCTGTGCAAGCCTTCCACATTAACTCTTAACATCCTCGAACAGTTTTTTGCTTGGGAGGGCGCAAGGTCAGAACGACGGGCCCATGAAATTGAATTCAAGGGTGAAACAGTTGGTCGTGTTCCTCTCAGCAAGTGATTGGGCTAGCCGTTGTAGCCGAGCAAGCAAAGGCTCAAACTGACCTACCAACGGGACGCGGACAGGGATGCCGGCCTGAGCTGTGTTGTGCTGAGGAGGTGGGGCAACATAGAAAGAAATCCACGGATCCAGCTCGACTGGGCACGAAAGGCACGAAGTGGCTTGGATACCGGGTAAAGAAAGGAAGGGACGGCAGCTGGACGCACAGACCAACGCAGACCCAGGGCCTCGAAGACAGAGTGTCCAGGCATACCCATTTGTCTCGATCATTTAGAAAGGTGCCAGCCCTCCAACCACGCCACATCGAGAGAACCATGCCACCAAACAACATGGGCATGGGCTTGTACAACGGCGCAGTCAAAAGCGGCTCAAAGGTTGTGTCTGCGATGATATCGGGAACCTTGCCACCGACTTTGGAGCAAAGATGCTCAAGCAAGAAAACCAGGAGTACATCTGCTGCGGAGTCAAACAAAGCTCCTGGAGACACCTCTCGCATCCACACTTGCAGGGTGCGTCTCAGAATCGGAAAAGGGGCAACATGCGCAGCAACCAGGTCATGGTCATAGATCTCTTCATCCTTGGCGTGATGCAAAGAATGCAGCGCGGACCGCAGCTCGGAGCAAAGCTCCTCCCCGACCGGAAGGAGAGAACCCAATCTTGTAGCACGGCAGGCTGGTGCTTGCACATGGCCTTTTTTGGAATCAACATTAACAGAAGCACTCGGCTCGCACGACTCCAAAAGGTGCGGACAGAGCGCAGAGAAGAGAAGATCGTTCTTGAGGCGAGAGCGAGTGGCATGCCGGGTATGGCACGCCCCGCATCGCCGCCCAACAGCAAGTTTGGCAGCTGTATTTCGGTACCCATGAATGCACGAACAGCCTAGTCGAAGGCACCTCGAAGGCTGTGAACCTCAGCACGCTTCAGGAGACCCCTCCAGCGCCCAGGCTGGCTCTTCATGAGAGTGGACCAGGAGAACCAGTCCGAGTCAATCGATCCAAGGGCACAGGTGTGGCCGACAATCGAGTGGAGCCATGGGCCACCCTCGCAGACAGCTTGCTGGTAATCCGCGTTCAAGGAGATCAGGGCCCAAACATGGTCCGGAGCACTTCTGACGGCTTGGCCGAGAAAACGGAGCCACTCAACACGTAGAAGCACAGCAGGGGACGGAAGCGAAACCCCAGAAAGGAGCTGGCTCTCAGTGGCAGGCCAATTGCCAGCAGCGCTGCCATTCCTGCAACGGTAACAAAGGCCAGCTGCCCGCACCAACCAAGAGGACTGAAAGGACATGGCTGCGAAGCAGTGGAGCGCGCTTGGCCAAGGGAATTGTCTTAAACATGTCATGGCGTGCCTGCCTGGAGCCTGGACCTAAAGGCACAACGACTGCAGCCGTTTTGGTAGGGCCCAAAGTGGGTCCGTAACGCACGCCGTGTCAGTACGTCGAACGTGTCTGCTGTGACTTCTGAAACTGTGGCTCTCAGATGCCCAGCACTCCTGCTTACAACAGGGGTACATAGGTAGGTCATCCGCATAGACATCTGGACGTCAGGAGCCTGCGACAGGTCCGCAGGCAAAGGAGGACGAATGCCGTCCCATGGCACTCGAGGGATAGCCTCCAAAAGAGTGCCAGACGTAGAGCCCCTCATGCATCTTTAGTCAGCGGCCGACCTAGCGCGGGAGATGCGTCAGCAAACATGGTCCATCCTCGCTGACTAGAGACGCAGCATGTGCCCAGGAAGAACTGTTGCAGACATGTTCTTCACCAAGTATCGTTTCCAGGATCACGGCATAATATGCCGATGCCAAGTCGACAAATGGGAAAACGATGGCGTTTCGCAAAGATCAGACCAGCCCTTTCACCCAGCTGGAGTGGCAATGCATGGGCACACCAGTGGTTAACCGCTACACTTCGGAGCGATCGATGGAAAACTTGGACAGGCAGGCATGACCGGGCAAAGATCATCCTGTAAGCATCACATGTGCGTCGCGAGCCGGCCTTCCCTTTACTGATGTGGAAAAGCAGTCCTCCTTTCAGGCCTGCTGGCTCCGCAACACGAGTGCCATTCGCCTTTTCCAAGGCAGGCAAGGGGTCTTGAAAGTACTTTCGGTATGTCTTGGTCGTAAGACTCGCTTTACAGCTTGATGGACCTCACGGTTAGGGGCCTCCAGCATCTAATCGAAGGGCTGAGCGGCGAGTTCAGATGGAATGCCGCAAGGAAGCAACCTCCTGGTGGAGAGCGACCGTTGCACCCGAGAAATACCGGGCCCTCATAGATCGCTTGGTTAGCGGCAAACAACTAGCCCTTTGTAAAGATGGTCAACAATGATGGCAGCTTGCTCGCTAGCGTCAATTTGCAAGCTAGGTCTGGGCGCATCCTTGATGACAGAAGCTATCACACAAAAACTCGCAGGATCACCAATGGCCCTAACGTCAAGCCTGATAGCCCGTCGCTGCCTGGGTCCCAATTCGGCAAAGACCGGGTAACAGCAGCAAAGTGGTCCACGCACGCTAGCCCGGCCGAAATAAAAGGGTCAACCCAGACGGCATGGCATAGGAGCTGGACGATCAGTTGCTAGGAAGGCTAACGTCGGAGCGGGCCAGGGCACCATTCCTCTTCTGCAAATCATAAAGCATCTGTAAGTTCCTGGTAGCCAGGAATTAAGGGATGAAAGGAGCTCCGGCTGATATCCTCCGATCACCCAAGCTTCACGGCTCCCCACACGACAATTGGCGTCCAGGAGCAAGATCCATTGTGAACCACACGAGATTGCATGACAGAGGTGCATGGCTTGCTGCCACCACTCACGCTTGACATCGAGAGTATGGGCACGATGTGGAAGGTGTCCGACCAGGACACGCATCTGTTGCCTTCTAACGGAAAGACCGGCCACGAGCAGTGGGAGTGAAGCACCACGACCGAGGAGGCCTTACACGATGCGTCGTCACGTATCCACAGCGCAACACCGAAGCAGGAGTGCTCATCACAACCCGCAGAGAAACGACTCTCTGCAACTGCAACGGGAGTGGCCAGACGGTGTGCACATTGGCGGCCGCCATAGAACCCTGAAGCAAGGTAGGACGGCCCACGGCTCCGTCTAGGCCCATCTGCGCATCAGGCACACCATCCAGAAGGGACAAGACATTGTACGTTGCAACACAGACAGTGAGATTCCCATTGGATGCTCCTGCAGCCTGATCTGAGGGAGTCTGTCGTGGAAATGCGCGCATGAAAGGCCTCCCACGGCACCGCTGCAGGATTCTCCTCATCAGAAGGGAGCAGAACGTAAGAGGCTGTGATGACCATTCCCTCCTCAATGTTGATCATATCATCAGTTACCCCAATGGGGATCTAACCGCAGCTGCCGCCTGCCGGTGCGAAGGTATCCAGGCCCGAGATGAGTTCGGAATGTGATACTTGGCTATGTCCAGCCAACAAAACGGACCATCCTTGAAACAACGGTCGGTAATCAAGCAGGGCAACTGTGGGAGCCTGGCCATCAGGCCAGGCCTCGCCGTTGGCTGTCGCATTCTCGCATCTGCCTTGCGTGCCAGGTTGAGGCCATCCTGCTTCGGGTTCTTGGGCCAGGCTCCTTCCCACAAGCGCCAGCGTGACGAGGAAGCTGTTTTTGTCCTCTTCTCATCGAAGAGCAACTAGAACTAGAAGGTGGCGCACATTGGTGATTGCTTACCTTTGCCAGATCCAGCTTGCACGGAGGCAGCTGTAGCGGCCAGCGAACCCTTTGTCTGGCGATCGAGCGGGGCTGCTTCCAGCACGCAACGGTCAGGGCTGAAAACGTGCGGCCTGTGCTCGCACCGGAGTTCTAAGCTATCCTCATTGCTCGAGGTGTTCTTGAACCCTTCCTTTAACAACAAGCATGTACACAATTGCTCCGTGCATGCCCCCGCCCTTAGCGCCCTGCCCTAACGGCATGCACGCGCTCTCTTCATTTTCCTTTCACTCGCGCTGCTGGTACGACGGCTCACCGACCTTCGTGTCGGGCCGTGGAAAGGCCCTTGGCGCTTCACCCGAGCTTCACCCGACTTCCGCGGGCCCCCGAACCCAGCCCTAGGCGTTTCCCTCAGCTGGTTGCTCCATCAAGAGGACACATCTCGGAACCCTCAACATCAGCCGCATCTTTTCGAAGACTTTCGACGAGGCCAACGTCGAAAGACAAGGGCCCGGGCACCTCGACCGTTCTGAATGTCCCATTGGGCTGGGGGGCATGGTTGAGGAACTTAAATAATCGGGAAAACCTGGGCTGCACACGAAGAGTGCGAAGTTAGCGTAGGGAACCAGCCCAGATCCACGACCCTGGCCGACATCTGGTCCGGAGTCGGCTCTGCTTCCGGTCGGACGGGCCTCCTTCCAAGCTCCGATAGAATCGGTCCACGTCAATTTGGTAGAGCTTGGGCACTTCGCCATCCTCACCTTGGCGTCCAGCACGGTGCTCATTTTCACTTTCCGGGCGGGGCACATCAGGCCCAGCTTCAGCCTCGCAGCTCTCCATGCAGAGCAGCCCAAGTTGCATACTCTCGAGGACGTTGATCTCCTCGGTGGCTTGGACCGGCCGCTTAAATGGCCGGTGCAGGAACGGACCCCGACAGTCTAAGAGGTGGGTCCCGTCCCAGCGAGACCTTCAGGGCTGCATCGCTGACCCCAGCCAACGCCTTGGCTTCGGCCATGTTTCGAACAGCCGAGATCTCATCGGTGCCTATATGTGCTTACATAACATCGGCGGCAGAGCCGCGGGAGCCACTCCGCCTCCCGCCCCGTCCATCTTTGATGGGGGGGCGAAAGATGAAAATTTGGAGGCTGCGGGCACTTGAGCCAAAAATGCCGACGGAGCCTCAATTTCCTAAACCCAAGCACTCACTCGATTGATATTTCCTACATGCATGCAACACACGAAAACTTGCCGACACATTCAACAATGCCGAGCCCGTCATCCAGCACCGCGGAGGAATCCCACTGCAACCCACTGAGCGGCTGATGACAATGATCATGACTAGGCCCATTGTTTGCGCATCTATTATCATCTCGTAGTGAAAGCTCGCTGACGGGCTCCGATTTCGATTCAGAAACAAGCCCTGGTGTCAAGGAACACAAGGCGATTAAATCACACGTAAACAAGGACCCTCACGCTCGCGCTCACACCCGCATACAACAAAAGGACAAGCAAACAAACAAAGACTGAACACGCGTGCCTGATCCAGTCGTGTCAGCCACCTGCAACACCTTTCGTAGTTCTTCGGCTTCCTTGTCATTCACCTGGCCCATATTGATTGCCTATACCCACACATGACAACGCTGTGACTCTGACGATACGCTGAAAATAGAGCAGCAGCCTTTCGCCCCGTCGTCTGCTGCATGTGATTGGCTAGAGCTTCGAAGCCCTCATCAATGGACATGTACCCTCAGAGGCAATAACTTCAACTTCTTCGCTTTTCTTCGGCAGCCAAGCTGAGTCTGCCAAGCTTCCGTCACGGTCAGCATCTGCCAAAGTGAAAAAGTCCATCCTCGGCGTTCCCTACATCAAGCTTATGGCCTTGGCTTGCACTTTGGCTTCCCACCACTAGGAGCGTGAACGAGCTTGGGAAGTCGTTCTTCCTGCGCGCAATACCAATGCAGCCACACGGCAGCGTGGTGGAAGAAGCAGGCGCCAGGCTGCTGATCCTCTTTGCTGATTCATGTTTTTGCAGTTCAACTTCGCTTAAGTTTCTGACTGATGCAAATAGTTTGGGATCAACACCACATGTTGCTGCATGTCCTCTTGCGCGTCCGTCGGTCTGAGCCCAAGAGACGCGAGATCTTTGCAGAAAGCTCCGACTGCTCGGGGGTCAGCTCCGCCGAGACACCTCAAAGCCGGAAAACAACGGACAACCAAGCAACAGCTTTCGATCCAAGGACCTGCTGCGCATCGCCAGGCAGACAGAAAGTCGGCAACGTCGATTGAAGTGGACGTCCGCCGACTGCCAATGTGCGCTTCCATGCTGCGCAGCACTGCAGCCGTCTCAGGTCCTCCAGACAACACGACCAGCATCGACATCATTGACAGCATCAACAGCATCACCTGATGAGTGCCCACCGTCCACCCTGACTGAGCGTTGCGCCAGTCACAGCATTTCGATGCAGAATCTCACAGAGACCTTGCTTACCCGGCTTACCACTTACCACTGATGGTTAGCAATCGAAGCTGGAGGCTTCGCTCAGGGGCCCCGGCCCTCCAAGAGCTGTCGCGCCGGCGCCGCTCGCTGACCCGCCTGACTCTCGTCAGGAGCTCACACATACTAAACTTCTCGCAGCCTCTCGCCTGGCACAGGTTGCCCATGAGATGATGTAAGGATTCGTCTGCCCGCATCATGGTCAGGTAGATGGAAGCCAACACGGAACCGGCCAACCGGCTCTCAACGACCTTCACGGAGGCTTCAAACCGAATAGCCCTGCAATCCTGAAGACGTACTTCGCCCCTTGGCTGCTTACCCTCCACTCCTCTTCGCCTGCGAGGCGATCTCGAAGCCAAACCGATTGAGCGTGTCCATGTACCGCAGATGATTTTGACTCGCACCACCCACAAGGCGGGCCACTAAGATCCAGTCGATGTAGATGCTGGTCGTGCTTCTGCAAATTCGGCGCCAGGAGGACAAAGTTATCACTCCCTTCAGCTGTGGATCTTCGCCTCGTGCATGGCGCTCTTTGCTACAAGCTTCCATGAAACAAGAGGACTGGGGACCGCACGCGTACAAGCTTCCCACAGCGGAACACGCCATTCTGCCAGCAAACCCATCGAATGCTGCATCAGCTCTGCCACGAGCTCGTCATCAACTCAGCAAGGCTCAAAGACGCGGCTTCCATGCCTTGAAGTGACTCCATCGAGTGCTGCAAAGCTACCGGTGTCTCCGAGCTTGGCGCGCGGCCTCCTGAAGGGGACAAGACCGAAAACATCTCCGAAACCCAATTCCAAAACCTTCATGGAGTAAAGGTGGCACATTCCTGGTAAGTGCGACAATTCCGAGTTGCGACCAAGTCTCAGGTTGGCAGATTTCGAAAGCACCCGCCAAGAAGGGCACCGACCCAGGTCGTGGCCTCGGGAGGGAAAGCTGTGAAGGCCCGAACACATAGAGAACAACACATAGAATTCTCGAAACTGTTCATGGCCCGAACATAGATCACTTGGAATGTCCTTTCGCTATGTTTCAGTATGTTTCGGTGCTGTCCTGTGTGACGAAGGGTGCTTCCGTTAAAAGGGCTGGCGTTGCAGGAGGACATAACGAGGTTGGGTGCTGCATGAGTGGATTGTGGTGGAGCTTCGTGCGTCAGCAATAGTCGTTATGGATGATGTCAACGATGATGATGACCATGACCATGGACCATGGCCATAGCAATGACCATCACGACAACGACTACGACGGCGACGAGGTTGAAGAAGAAGCAGAAGAAGCACTCGACGTGTCCAAAAGAGTCGGACCCATTTCCGTTGACTCCGTATCCGCGCACCGGTCTGCATTGAGACCCCTCTCAGTTTCGAGCTCTGCGAAGTTACCACTGAAGTGTGAACGCGGCACAGAAAGCACTTCCGAGCCAGGATATCGACTCACCAGTGCAATTGCATGTCGTAGACATGCATCTTAGTCCAACATCTTCATCACCATCGGCAACATCAACATCAACAATGTCATCATTGTCGTCACCACCAGCATGATACTAGTCTTCGCACAGCTTCAAGGACAACAACATTTCTAGCACCGTGGTCACGGTCGTCGACATCGTCGTTGTCAATGCAAGCTACACACGTAGAAGGACGGGTGGCAAAAACGACCTCGATCTCTGCAAGAGGGAGAGAAAAACATCAAGCATGCTGCATTATGTCAGTCTTCAGTGCAAGCGTGCTTCGCTGTCTGGGAAGGTCCAAGACATCATTCCCAGGATGGCGCTGATTCATCTAGTCGAACAAAACACAACTGACGCAAAAAAGCTATGGTACCAATTAGACCCAAGCGAACAGAGTGAAGCACTTAGCCGGGAGGCACAAGGCTTCCAGTGAGCCTGGGCTTGCCCCCGGCTGCAGGATCACTCCGCCAGCCCGGTTCTGTCGGCCCCTGGCGAAAGACTTGCGGAAGGGTTCCCCGCATCTACTGTAGAAATTTGGGAAAGAATTCCCTAGTTCTGATCAGCTGATTCTTGCTTACATGTTCGTCACCGCCATGCATGCGCGCTTCGGCATCTGCTCTACCGCCTCGCACATGTTCGCTGTATGTTCCTAAAGTTCGGTGACCCTACGTCTGCTTAGCGGGTCATTTACGAGCGGTGGGGTCCCATGTCCAACATTCCGTGCCGCGACTTCAACCTCGTAAAGAGGAACGTAAAAAGAAATGAAAGCATGCTTTGCCTTTGCCGTTTTATTTTTGGTCTTTGTTTCGGTCATTGAGGCGGTTGCAAAAAGAGCCTAGTTGAACTAAGTGTAAGGAGCCGGGTGTTCCTTCCGCTCATTTCTTTCACCAATCGAAGTGGGTGTTTTTGCTTCCTTACCGCCTGTCAGTTATTCCTGGCGTGTGAATAAATCTAATGAATGAAGAGGAACGGAACCACCACAATGGAATGACACTTTCACTTTATGCCCCCCTTAGGCCTGAACACGATTCTAATTGAGAATGATGCAAGGGATTCTTTGGGGAAGCGCACACAATGTTGGCTACAGCGTTGACTTGCTGGCTTTGTAGGAAGGTGGAGGCGAGTTGTGATTAGCTGGCGTGGCTTCAAACATCCCACATGCTAACCCTTGATTCATGACTAGTATGAGGCCTTGATCGTCCTTGGCAAAGGAACGGCAACAGCATCCAGACCGGAACGGATCGTCGGCAGGCAAGTGGCGCGGTATACGTGCAGCTTATGTTGTTTCATTGGTTACTATTCCACACCACCGATGTTTGTAGGATTCCTCGGCCAATCCAGCTCTTTGCATAAAGCCAACCTGCCCCTAGGGACATCCTACCACCGAGGTACTTGATGTGAGATGAGGTCGGGACTGGGGATCTGTTAAGTCAGACTAGGGATTTATTGTTGACCAGAGATGTGACACCCTGAGTTGTGGTCTGCTCGATGCGGCGAGCAAGGCAAACTGCCTGGATGCACAAGCAGGCTATCGCGGCTCCGGCTTCTCGGGAGATGCCAAAGAGCTTGAGTGCCATGAGCATGTCCTGGTGATCGACCGAGTCTTGTTTCCAGCTTGGCTTTAAACACAGCAGCTGCGAGCTGTAGTGCGTGACATTATCTCCACTCCGTAAACCTGCAAAACAGTGACCAAGAGTGTTTGTTGCCGCACCGTGTCGAAAACCAAATTTGTGGAAGTGGAGCCCATACGGTCTTCACACTCGGTGGTGAGATGAGCCCGAATGAGTGAAACATAAATGTAGGGAACCATTCATCAAGGAGGCGCGGCGCGGTAGGAGGGCGAATCGCTATAATCAGCCTGCTGCTGGAAAGATATCAAGTTGCTGTACAATCACCATCTTTCATTCATGTTGCAAGGTGTCGCCACCTGGATTTTTTCGTTTTTGAATTTAGCCAGGCCTGTTTGCATGATTGCATCTTCAATCGCAAAGCTTAGGTCCTCTGGCTGCTGCGAGTGGTGTTGTGGTCCGGGGCCAGTTGGGGCTGTCAGGCTGAGGGGTCGCGGCGCCCGCTGTGAACATTCTGTAGGTGGTGTTGGGGTGGCACCTGAAGCCTCCAAACAATTTCTATGTGTTGTGTATCGGGCTCCAAACACCTTTTGCACGCCCGGCGGAATCGGATTCGGAGTGGATCCAGTTGACACGGTCTTTGCTTGCGGCCTGGCCACTGTGGCTTCCGAAAGAGCTTCCTGATTGGCAAGTCGATCTTCGCGCTCGTTGCCCTCCGCACGCGCGACCGGTCAGCATGTTGATCGACCCAGCGGCTGACGATTGCTTCCGTTGGACATTTAAGCCTAGGGCTTCTAAGTCGGAGTCCTGCATTACCATTGAGTGCTGACCCGATGCGCTAGTGTTGGCACTCGAGCTCTGCGAATGGCAACTATTGCAAGGATTCGAGTCCTGCCGGTGCACTTCGCCGCTGCATGGCAGACAGTTTGCTTGCACTTGTCTTGCCAAGGTTGCAGCTGTAACTGGGATCAGATCCTTCCTATGTCCTTTCGTCATGGAGTTGCAACTGTCACAGACAAAATTGGAGCACCGCCAATACTCTAGACTCTAGACTTGCGTTTCGAAAGCTGCAACATGGATCTCAACCATGCTGGTGCTAGCTGTGGCATCGTTGGAGAAGGTTCAAGCCGATCGCTGGCTGCGAGGATGCGAAACGGTTCATATTGACCTGGTACGAAGCATCCTTTGGGAGTTCGTCTTTGTGATTGTCTGTTGCTCGTCTCCTGAGCGGCATCGTCTCAAGGGTGAACTAAGCTGTGCGAGTTCAGAGCTCTTTCAAGGTTAGGGGTCTTCCCGGGGTGTGATCGACAGCAATGCTCTGCGGGGAGCCTGTAGTTGGAGGCACTAAAGACCGTGATGAGCTGCTCCTTGTGCGCTTTGTGCACGCACACGCCGCTCCTTACATGGGACGGTTCAACACAAGGGAAAGAGTCGCATGTGAGTATCAGAGAATTTGCGGAATAGCATAGGGCGTGCGGCAAATGCAGATAGTAGTATTTAGGTCTCTATCTTGGGCATGTTCACGAAAACCAACACATAGGCTCAAACAGAAACTTCTCTTGCTTGAGCCTAGGATCTGGTCCAAGGGAACTTGGTGGGAACGGATCACCAGCTTCAAATCGTTGCTTTGGCAGAATCTCTTGGTGTAGTCCGGACCCCAGATGTGTCCAGTTCCGCGTGCGTTCGCACGGCTCCCGGGCACGTCGCTGGGATCGGACCACAAGGCATCCACCAGCGCATCCATGCCTGCATCACCCTCCAGGCCCCATGGGTTGATAGAAGCCTGAGCTGTTTAGGGGTTACAGCGGTTTCAGGGCTTTACAGGGCTTTACAGGGCTTCGGGGATTTGTAGGGTTCAGGGTTCAGGCTGAAGTCTCTTGCAAACCTAGTCTGGCCTCCCGCAGTTCTGGATCCAGGTTCCGCAAATGGTTCAGCTGATTCTCGGGATCTCGACCGATTCCGCCGTGGATGACCAGAACCACGTCGTTGATCAGGGTTGCAACAGGCAGGACGCAGAAGAGGCGACCGAACAATGCATGCAGATAGGGCCCCCAAGAGGCACCGTACTTTTCAAGCAGCTCGTACTGAAACCCCCCGCACCGTGAGGCGTTGATGGTCATACACTCGTGGTTGCCACGATTGATGACAACGACAGGATCATTGGGATACTGCAGCATGATCGTGAGGAACAGTATGAAGATCTCCGTTGACCAGTCGCAGCGATCTGCCTAGTCTTAGACAGTGCAGCCCGCGTTTTTGAGAAATGTGTCACCGGCTACAGTACGACAAAGGGGTCGGGAGCACTTTGAATTCAATTAAACGGTGCATCGCAGAAGATGCCACCTGGAGGAACAACCCCTAATATACGAGTAACATGAATCTCTGCCTCGCGAGGCTCTTGGCTGTTGCAGGCGAGGCTCCTACGAGTCTTGTTTTAGGCACTCGAACTTAAATAATAGTAAGAACACGTCGTGAAAACCTGTCAGCAACAAGGCCCCTCGCAACTAATGATGTGCCCGCGATTTTGAGAAACCCCCATCTGCAACAAGGTCTCAATATCACCATTGACCACGTACACATTCTTCTCGGTCGGAAGTCCAAGCTCGGAAACTGCCCAAAGTACATCTGCCAGTTGCCCGTGGGTGTCACCCAGCACAACAATCCTGTCTGTTGGGGAACGGGTTAGTGTTGTTTGGAGCTTACAGTATGGTTGTTTGTTTTGCGAGCGCCTCTTCACGTGCCCGGGAGCTCTGCATGGGAGCAGGCGGTTTAAGCTCTCGTGGTTTCACAGAACCCCGACAAGAAATCCCTCTAGAGCCTCTCACGCAGTGTCACACCGCCAGCCGTCATCTCAACATCCGGGTTGGCTTAAATTTCGTGCAGGACACGCTCACCGGGCCCGTGAGCGTTGGCCTCGGGCGGTTTGGGTTTGAGGGTTTCTGAGGCAGACTGCAGCACTGTCAAGGCCTACTACACAGCGCGAGACCCAACAGAGTCCTGGATGGCCCAGCTCGGCCAGTTTCGGCCACATTTACCTGCACTGCTCCTGCGTCCACGCAAACACCGGGCACCTGGAGCTTCATGACCGGACCATGCATTTCGTTGCGCTTCTGGTAGAGATCAATAGACAAGTCCAGAATCCGCAGCACAAAGTGCGGATGCAGTGGGACATCAAATTCGTCCCTCAGGTGGTCCAACAGCTCGGAGGCTGTGGTGCCTGCAACAGTGTGCCAAAATCTCGCATGCCGTACTCTTGAAATGCAATCGCGGCGGCCTTTTGAACTGGTGAGGATTGGACAGTGGAGACACGATGGTGTTCCAGTACCACGGCCTTGCCTTCTAGGCTCTTCTGATCGATGTCTGTCATCAACATTACCAGTATTCCCCAGATTCTAGGAATGCTGGCGGTGGCGGTGGCGGTGGCGGTGGCGATGGTGGTGGCGGTGGTCACGGTGGTGGTGGTGGTGGTCGTGGTGGTGCTGGAGTTGCTGGTTTTGTTATTCCT